GTTGAGTTTACAGCCAATAAGTCTAAACCCGTAAACCCTAAACCCCTAGCTTGGTCTCTCGGGGACGAAGACTCCTCAGGTGCTAGGGGCCTTTAGTTGAGGGAAATAGGGCATACACGCTTTTATGGCTCATGGTTTGGGCCTGTCCTGTTGGGGAAGACAACCGGGCTCTTTCATAGCAATCCTTGGAGGTGAGGTATCTGATTTAACAGATAGAACAATATTGAGGAACTCCACAACGGAGGACAGCCCTGGTTGTAGAGGGCTCATATTGTAATTTTTGAGTTCTACATGTAGAAGAGGTGCTTACCACGAAGGAGAACGGAGCCCTTCAGAAAAGGCTGTGTTTGAAGCCATAGAACGGTGGGAGAGCACTCGCGGGATCTTGTGTGTTTAGGTTTCAGCGCTTTTGCGGTGTTGGTTCGTGCAATGCCTGGTGTTGACGAGTATTGTGGTTTCGGCGTAAACCTTCCCAAGAGTGCGAATGTTCCAGGCATTTCCTGCAGCCCCAAGCCCTACAAAACATGGGGTTGGACCCGGCATGCCATGAAAGAGGACTCAGCTGGGAAAGGGACCCATCGCACAACGAGGGTGCTCTTGATTCTGTCGATGGGATCGCGAATGACCTGGATCGGTTCAGGCTTCTTGCGATAAGACATCTTATATAATATGATCCGACGATTATCAGTATTATTCTGATGACTTGGGATGTGACCCTAAGGGTCCATGTACCCAAATAGTAGGTACTTTGGCCCCAAAGTGTCCAAATAGGGACTACGTTAAGGCCAAAGTATCTACGATTCGGGTACATGGACCCTTAGGGTGAGGTGTGTAGGATGCAGGACCAGAGGATCCAGGGCTCACTGGATCGTTATCGGGTTTCTCAAGCGCGGTCTAAAGGCTTCGGGGCGGCTTCTGCTTCGTGCTGGGACCTAGGTTTAGGGTTTAGGGTTTAGGGTTTAAGAGTGGTGGCAGCTGCCATCAAGATATCCTGCATGACGATGTCAACACACGGCCTGCGGCCCTCAGCAACAACCCATCCTTGTGTGGGGCCTCTTCCAGGACACGGAGCAAGAACGCCAGAGAGCCCTATGAATCAAAATCCGATGCATCCCTGGCCCGACATCCCAATCCCTAAGCCGACAAAGATGACCCTAAACCCTAAACCCTAAACCGCGGTGGCACGGCTTTCGAGCCGGAACCCCGAAGAATGCCGGGCCAAACCCTCTGTGTCACAAACCCCCCAAGAACCCAAGACCCAGATCAGGCCTACATATACGGTTGCGGGTTCAGGGTTTAGGGCTTGTGGGGTTAACACTTGCAGGGATAGATAAGCGGCCTATCGAGGAGCCAAGCTAATTTCGTTTAACAAGGTACCCAATCGATGTGCTCAATCTTCTGGCGGACCTCTGTGAAGGACCACCTCCACACTAAAACATGGTCCCAGAAGCACCCGAGGCCGCGGCTACATCGGAGCGAACGAAAACCGTCAAGATACAGTTCTCGTCACCTGGAGCAGAACGGCTTCCTACATATGTGGGGCTGCTTCTTGTGGCTTCCATATGCATGTGTATATTATATATATATATATACACATACACATGTATATATACATATATATAATATATATATATATATATGCGCAAACACGTGAAACAACAAACAAGCAAGCAGACCCCGACTGACAAGGTACCTGCATGTTTAGGGCTCTGTGTTATGATCTCCATGAGAAAGGGGCCTCAATACGTACAATCGTCTTTGGGGGTATACTATCGTATAGCTATACAGTGACTATCAAGGAATAGTTCTGCAACTCACCGAGTCGAAAACCCTTAGAATGCTCAGAGTCCCACGGCCTGAATACATTCCCTGCAACAGCCAGTAAGCCGAACCGAATTCCATGATTATGCCGAGTCATGCCTCATTCCTTATCAATCTCAAATTCTGAAAGCTTCAACACATCTTGAAACTGTACTGAAGCTCTACTGACACACTGCCCCGGCGCCTTCAAAAACTGAGGGAAGTCTAAACCTCAAACACCCGAACAAAAAAACAACGCACAATTCTAGAGCCGGTTGTATCTTTGGCGGTCAAGGCTTAGGACAGATTTAGGGTTGACCTGACCCCGGAATTATGCAGGGTCATAGCTTTTTCTAAGTGTTTCGGGTTTAGGGTTTAGGGTTTCTAAGTGTTGGGCCACCATTTTACCCAACTTCCGGGGTGTAGGCAAACCCTAAACCTTTCACGGGTTTGGAGGGGAAAGAGTGGGCCAGCAGTGCGACTCCACCTCTCCCAGTCTGCTTCCAAAGAGTCTCCGCCTCATTGGGCTTGCTGCAGTCGCTTAGCGACCCTGTTTCAGCCGTGGGTTCCGGCCTCAATCAACTGACGGCGTAGCACGTTTGTGCCAAGCAAATTCCCTAATCGTCTCTCCACTGTTGGAATCCCAGAGCTGGCAGGTGAGCTTAAAGGTCTCATGTGCATGCGGAAGACTCGGCCGGAGGCTGAGACCCTTTCTGCCTGTAGCGTCTCCGAGGTGCCGAAGGGACCTAACACGGTGATGCGCAGCAGCTTGCCACAGTCTGGTTCGTGTCCTCCTCTCCAAGAGTCTGACAGCCTGGACCATGAAGGCGATGGCATTTCGGACATACAGCGGTTGCAGTATACCCTCGGTTGCAAGCTGGTCCAACATCACTTTGGCCCCGTCGCCTGGAACTGGTGGGCAGGCGGCCGTGCAGACCACGAAATTCGCGAGCAGCTCCAGGTAGGTAATCCCTCGGTCCCTCTTGTCGAGATGGTCTTGACGACCCCATTGTAGCTGAAACACCCATTGCCAGATCTTCTCAAGAAACCATAGTGGCCATCCACCTGTCGGGAAACCCTCAGCCGGGAACGCCCGGGGCGTCAGCGGCTGAGTCTCCTCAGGTGAAAAGGCCAGCCATTGAGAAAATTCCCCGCAGTTGGTGAGGCCAGGGCCGGCAGCAGCACCTGAGGTGGGGGCTACTGTCACGGCGCCAACAGTTTGCTGCCGCAAAGCCCGACGGGCCGGCACCACGACGTGACCTCGAGCAGGTACTGGTAAAACCATCGCAGACAGTCGCCTTGTTCACGTCGCCAAGCGGCTATTTCCGAGCAAATACTCCCAGCCAGGGGCAGGTCGTTTTGGAGCGCCTGTTTCGCAGCAAGGTCAGCTGCGAAGTTGCCAGCTGCACACACAAGCTCATCTGTTGGAACATCTCGGAGGCAACGATGGGCCTGGACCTTGTGACCCCTAAGGGAAGCTGGGAACCAATTAGCAACGTCGCCATCGCCGAGGTCAGCCACATTGCTCTCTCTCGGCAGTTCGGGGCATGCTTGAAGGCGGCTTTGGGCCCGTAGGCCAAACTGGCTGTCGGACCCGACAAGGCTGGGCAGCGCAGGGATGCTGGAGGCAATCCTGCCAGCCTGTAGCAAGGCGCAGAACTCAGCTCTGTTATTGGTCTGGCGGCCCGGCACAACACCTTGGGCAACTATTACAAAGCGCTCAGCAACCAGCTCTGCTAGACGTTGTTCCTCCAGGCCTGGCGGCAACTGTTCCAATGGTCTCAAGTCAAGTACAACTGCCCATGCAGCATGGCGAGCTGCCGGACAGGAGTTATGGTTGCAGGAACCATCGGTGTAGAGGCACAACCTATCGAGCTTATGAGCCACGACAAGATCAGATATGCTGGGCGGCGGCAAAAGTTTGCGAGACTCCCAAAACAGTCTGCTGAAGCATTCCTGCTCATGTTCAACTGCGAATGGGCAGTGCAGCCAGTGAGGCACGTGCTGCTGCACCCATGCGAGAAGGTCCTGGAACGGAACCCGGGCTCTGGCCACAGCTGGGCATGACAATAATCGATGGTGTTTGGTATCCAGACCACCGCACAGCTCACAAGTGGCTTCAATCAAGGGATCCCATGTGGAACGGGCAGCGGCTGACATGAAACCTCAGGCACCCTCAACAGCGACCTTTATGGCAGAGGACGAGGACGTTCGGAGATGGCACCTCCAGTGATCGGGCCCTTTGAGAAGACCGTCAGGCTTGAGTACCCAGCCGTGTTCCGCGAGGCGCCACGCCAATGTAGTTGCCGGGCCAAGTGTGCGACGCACCGTGCCATCAGTCTGGGAGGCAGTTTGGAGCCACCAATTACCCTGTTCTGGGCACACTCGAAGGAGTCGCGCTAAGGCGCACAAAGATTGGGCCAACGCATAGACCCCCGGGTCCAGGACCCTTGCACACAGACAAGTCAGAGCAAGAATGGGGGAAGTGGAGCTGTGCTTACCAACAAGAGCTCTTGCAGCAGCTGTTCGGAGGGAGCTAATCTGGGCCACCGAAAGTTTGTGGCCTTCAGTGCCATAGAAAGTAGCAGGCCAAACAGAACCGAGCATCAGTCGGGCCTTAAGCTCGAGAGGGCGTGACATAGCTCCGAGTTTCTGGAGGCGGTCATGGCCGTGCTGCAGTCGGCTGGTCACATGTGCCTTGGTTGCCCGAGGGCCAAACCTGAAACTGACCCCTAAATCCTTGGCCCCATCAACCACTCGGAGCTGGCTGCCATCGGGGACTAAACTGGGAGCGATCTGGCTTAACCACCGGCGATGACTGGAGAGGGTGGCCCAACAATAGCTCTTTGTCCAATCAATCGGTAAACGGAGGGCCGAACAGAACTCCCGTGCACTCGCCACCGCATCGGGGAGTGCAGCTGGCTCCGTGCACGTCCACGTGAAATTATCGACATAGGACCGGAGAACACTGTTGGGGTTTCGCGGCCAGTGATGTGCCGCGTAACAGACCGCCAGCATTGCAACAACGCTGAGTGGATCTCCTTCAGGGACACCAGTTGAACTGGGCAGTCCCACCCCGAGGCTGTCGTGAAAGATGGGAAAGCGAGCCACACGATCTAGGAAGGAAAACCAAGTCTTGACAATGACTGGGGGCACCTGCAGGTGTAGGAGCAGTTCCTGCAGAGGACGCCTCGGCAGGTTGTTAAAAGCCTTGACCAAATCAATGCTGAAGCCCAGCAGGGGCTCCTTGGCAAGTCGGGCTTGCTCAATGAGGCATTCCAAGCTGAGAGACAGGTCCCTGGAACTTCGACCCGGTAGGCAGCCAAGGATTTCTTTAGGGAACCATTGATTCCAGGCCCGTAGTATACCTTTGGCCGCCACACTGGCCCAGAGCCTGTACGAGGTGGCCAGTATGGTGATAGGTCTGGAATGGTGCAGGCCTTGCGGGCAGTCATTCTTGGCCAAGCTGCTGACCGTAGCAGATGCAATGTGCGTGGGCCACCCAAAGCGGCTGCACTGCCGAAAAACCTCTGAAAGATCCGAAAGGGCCTGAAAAGGCAGGGCTTTGAGCTCTGCATTAGAGATGCCATCGTACCCGGTCGCTTTGCCGGACTTGAGGTGCTTGGCGCGATCCAACCAGGCCGTGGGGGCAAAGGAGTCAAACACGCCTAGCGAGGCAGCTTCCGGTGGTACCGGTGGCAAATGTTGGAGGAAAGCTCCCCATGACAGATCATGCTGACAGTCTGCGGCCTTGTCCCTGAGCCAAATGGGCGCCCAATACTCAAAGAAGGCGCGATGCAGTTCCGGGCCAGTACTGGCCTCGGTTTGTTGTTGCAGGCAGCAGTGAGCAGGCGGGGGGCGCCCGGGGAAATGGATCTGCAAGACCTCTGACTCATCCGGCCCTTGGAGAAGGCCCTGGATTTGGACGGCAGCTCCGTCCGCCGTGGTTGGCAGAGCGGCAACAAATGCAGAAGGGAACGGCAGGCGATAGGACGCAACGTCAGTAGCCAGGTCCTGGACCTTCACAGCTTGTTGGCATTCAAGCTTTGGTATGGCGGTGATAGGGGGCCGCATCGGTTTTCGGAGGGCAGCATAGTGGCCTTTAGCATGATTGCAAGAGGCATCCTGGTGGGCCTTGTAGGTACGAAGCTGGGCAGCCCGCTTCGCCTCGGCCTTTGCCAGTATGTCGGCATCATAGGCAACGTAAGCCACGACATCCTCTAACCATTCAGCGGGGGGCCATGCTTCCCAGAAGACATGAAAATGAGCAATGCACAGAAGCCAGTGGGCAAAGGTCGGGCTGTAGCCTGGCGCTCTTTTTATGGCGGCCCATTCGTCCCCAAGTTGGCGGCAAACTCCGGGGGACCAGTCAGCGTTTTTCCTTGCCTTGGCAAGGCCAGCAGCAAAGGTGCGGAGGCGACGGGCCTGCTTGATTTTAGCGCAGCCGATCACTGACATAACCTCGTTTGGCGGGTTATAGTCACCATGTCGGGCTTGCCTGGCAGGACAAGGCAGGGGAAACTTTAAGCGGGGCCGGAATTGGAAGCGACCTCGGCAGGCCTTCGGCAAGCCCGGGCCGTGCTGTTGATCTGTGCTCTGGGACGGGTTGGCACGTAGGCAAGCATCAACAGCTGCTTCTACCTGCGAGGCCCAGGTCACAAAAGCTTGATCGACATCATCCCTGTCCTGACATTGTTGTATGGCTGCCTGACATTCACCTCGCCTGCATGCGTATTCAGCATCAAAGGCTTGAGGATCAACCTCCAAGGTGGCCCAACTGCGGGGCATTCGCCAACGGTACTGTAGGATGGGGCTGGCAGGTATGCAAAACTCCAACATCAGCGGTGCGTGGGAGTCAAACAAGTGAAGATGAGTGGAGACCGCGGCTTTGCATAGCATTTGCTGAAAGATCGGCGGTAGCACCACCGTATCATGGCGAGTGGCGGCACGACAGGTAGGGGGAAGTACAGTGCCAGTGCGGGCCTCCCAGAATTCAAAGGTCTCCCGGAAGCCCAAGGCCCGGTACTCATCCCACACAGGCAGAGACTGAATGCAGCAATTGAAGTCGCCCCCTATAATGGCCGGCAGATGGTCCCGTGTAGCGACTTGCAAGGCCCAGCGGAACAATTCATCATTGCGAAGGGCAGCCTCCGCTCGGTTTGCAGGGAACCCATAGACTGCAATGACCCGAAAGGAAAACCATCCTACCCGGGCTATTGCCTCCACCAAGCGGCAGGAGCCTTGCCAGATTTCAGGGCGGCCGGCAAAAGAGCCTCGCAAAGGATATTTGCTGATAACCGCGGTGCCTTCAGCGTGTCCGCGGAGGGAGTCTTGCCCAGTCGCATGGGGAGGAACAGGCGGGCTCCATTGGCTATAGCACTGTGCTTTACCAAAGGCTGAGGCAGCCAACCGCTGGGCACGCTCAACAGCAGAAGTTTCAGACAAAAGCACCATGTCTTGCTGGAGGTCTAATATGTCTGCTTCCTTGCCCAAGACAGCAGTGGGGTTGACCACCGCCAAGCGAAAGTCAGTATGCACTGGGAGGTTTCTGGATTGAGAGGAACCATCAGTCAGTTGTGCACCGGATATACTAGAGGCAGCGTCGGATGGGATGGCCGCATCTGCGCGTGGCTGTGGGGCCTCATCAGAGTGTGGAGGCGCGGACGTTTGCCGGAAGGATTCCAGCAGAGACAGTTGGTGGGCAGGGCCCGGGTTTGCAGCTTCACCGATTCGCTGGCCATGTAGCCAATTCCAGTCAGGAGTGGCGGAACAATCAGGGCAAAGGGTGCTTGTGACCGGCCCGTCGTAACTTTGCGAAAACTCAGTAGGATGCAGGTGGGAGCGCCCCACCGCAGAGGTTCTTGGAACGAAGCATGCGTCATTGAGCATGCCAGGCAGCTGCCCCCAGCTACCGGGAAGGTATTGTGCATAACAGACAACCAGGAGACAGTACCCCTTCCTGGCGGCCAGACAAGGCCAAGTCAGTCTGCAGACGAAAAGGCAACACTGCTGGTGCAAATGGCCCGACTTCCGAGGATTCACTCCCGGGGAACAGCAAGGAAGCTGGGACCAACCCCAAAAAACTGAAACAGCAGGGACGGATGCAGCCCGAAGGCCAGCCACATGTCACAGCTCTTCTTGATCGTGAATCTTGGCCTTCTTGTTGGGATCGCGGCTGTCACGGCCAGCTAGGAAGAGAGCCTTGAGCTCATCCAAGCCACTTTGCATCTGCTGTTGCTGTTGTGTCTGGGCAGCCTGCAACGGGTCGACAGAAGACTGTAGCTGGCGCGAAACGTCATGACCAAGGACAGCGAGTTGTTCCTTGAGGCCTGTCACGGCAACCTGGGCGGCAGCACGGTCCTCGCCCTGTTGGTGCGGCGCGGGGCTTGCGATGAGGTAGCCGAGGAGAGCGAAGCCCGACTGGTGAAAGAGGGCAGTGCGCTGGACCAGGGGTCACTGTGGCTCGGGATCCTCTCCCTTGTTGAGGGAGGCGAGGGGAGCAGGGGAGCGGCTTTGGAGCTGACCTGACTGCACTGTCGGTGCAGGTGTGGATTTTTGCTGCACCTTGGAGACCAACACTGTCTGGCCGTTAAAGGCAGGATAGGCAACCGGGGGGTCAGTGTTGGACCCCAAAAGCCAATGTTGCGGGCCCAGGGCTTTAAGAATTTTGACATTCCAGCCACCACCAGCCGCCCACTTCTGCACAGACGTTGCATCAGCACCAACGGGCACCGGGCCCATTCGAAACAGTTTACTCACAGCGACTTTTGTAGGCACAGCGAGGCCAGGGCGCAATTGTTGGAAGACAGCTTGATGACGAGCCTCCGGGACTCGCAAACCGTATCTATCCTTAGACCTGACAAGCCCAAGCTGGCCTGGCACCTGGAGGGAGGCCTTGACCGCCTCAGCGCGGGATGAGCCCAGCCAGACCACTGAGTAGCCCTGCTTCAAACTATGGTCCTGGTTTTTGGGGACCATGTACACACAGTTGTGGCCACTGGCAGCGAGGAGCACATCACAATTTTCTGATCCACCCTTGCCTGGAACAAGACCTGGTCGGCGAGGGCTGGCGCAGATGCTTTGCCTCCGCTGAGATAGCGGCCCCAGGGCTCGGACAGGGCCTTGTCCGTAGCACACCCTGAGAAGGCGGCGACAACAGATTTGACCGGCGATGCAGCAAAGCCTTTCCATTGCTCGGGATCACAGTCATCCGCATAAACAACAAAAGTACAGCAGACCACATCTGGCAGCTCCACATCAATGTTTTGCCGCCAAGGTTGTGCAAGCAACCAGCCAGTAGCAGGGGAGAACCGCAGTGGCGGCCGGTTGCCGGGAACGACAGTTTGTGACAGCCATCGGCAGGGCAGGGGCAGTCATGACCCAACACAAGCAGGGCCAGTTCATCCGGTTGCACCCCTTGCATTGTGTGCAGGAGCTCCACGGCCTGGGGCCCGTCTGTGAGAAGCACACCTGTGGCGCCTGGCTTCAGGCTCTCAAGTACGGAGGCTTCGGTGCCATCATCGTTTTGGAAGAATCCCGGGGCAATGGAGACCTCAGAGGCGCGGATGAAAGAGCGGCTTTCCTGTTTTTTGCGGGTCGCCTGGCGGCGGGCACGGACCTCGGCCTTAGCAACCTGATTAGTTTGCACCGGCAGGGGCACATTGACACGGCGAGCGAAATCAGCAACCTGCTGCCAACGGGAGCCTTCACTGCCGGAGCTCAGGGTCTGGAAGAGTTTGTTGGCCCCAGCATGATTGGAGACTTCATCAACAAAGTGGGTTGTGGCCTGGAGGTCGATGCCTTGGGCCAAGCACAAGGACGCAAGGCGTGTCTTGGACCAGTTCAGATTCTCCTCTTTGACTCCTCCGCCCACGCAGCTTGGATGCAGGGTCAAGAGCAGCGCCCCCGTACGGCGCACCACCACACCTTTGGCATTTTGCTTAGCCTGATGAACGCTCGTGGCAGGGAGGAGTGGGTGAGGGCCAGAAAACACCCTGACATCAGGAGGCAGGCCACAGGCCTCAGAGGCGTCACGCCACCAGGTGCCCAAGTCATCAATGCAGAATGAACCAGGCAAGTAACCCTGCCAACAGCGCCGTGCGAGGATCTGCAATTCAACCTGGAACCCTATAGCAGAGCCAGCCGGAGGCTTGTGGGCCTCCAGTCGAGCAACCATGTACCAGAGGCGAAGCTGGCCAGGCAGTAAGGCAGGGCATACATGCAGCCGAGCTGGGCTCGGGCGGAGTTGGAGCTCCATGGGCTCTTGGTTCTGGCAGGGAAAATTTACAACGGTTGAGATCCAGCCTAGGGCCTCTGTGAGCTGGAATGGGAAGCCCAGCCAGAAATGGACTGCCACCTCAACTGGGCATCTGATGTGGACGGCGGTGCCACAAGTACGGAGCTCGGTCTGCTGAAAGGCATCATGCAGTAAGCTGAGGCTGAGGGCCGGGGCTTCGGGATTAAGGGTGTCTGCAACCACACAACCCTCAAAGTCCTCTGCGTGCCATAAGCGCTGGCCGCATGCACTGAAACAAACCAAGTCCTCTCTCGCCCCTCCCAAGTCATCAAAGATATTGAGCAGCTGTGGCCACATACGGGGCGATTGGACATCGACAATATACACTTGCTGCGCCGATGCGAACACACAGAAGGAGGAGTCGCGATCCTTGCCTCCTTGGAAGCCTCCACAGTTGAGGACCGGAGGGCTTGCAACGTGCAAGGTCATGGCCTGTGCTCTGTCTGCGAGTGGCTGGGGCAGCAGGTTTTGCTCCAGGCCTGCAAAGTCGAGGATTTGCTGTGGATCGGCCCCGGCGGGAATGCAAAGTGGGGCTGAGGCCCCCTCAGAGTGCAGTGTCCAAGTGACAAACTCAGGGGCCGCGCTAGCACTGCCGGGTACCTCCTGGAATTGGCCTGTGGCAAGCACTTCACACACCTGGTCCTTGCGGCATAAGATCCAGTCAGGCCCGGCGGGCAAGAACAGCGAATTGCCGTTATGAATCCGCTCGGCTAGTGCCAGATGTACAGCAGCTTCCGGTGCAGGCAATGCCTCAATGCCCAGAGCATGGCATGCATGTGTGAGGCAGGCAATGGTCTGGGGCACGGCCGACGAACCACCCAATAGCTTCATTTGGCTGTCGCCTGAAGTTTGCAGGAGAAGGGGTCTTACTGCTCCATGCAGAGACGCAATCTCTGCGCCACTGAAGAACCGCACCGTTTCTTTATGTTGCAGAAGAAATCCCAACAGCCCTTGTCGGGCCAGCTGGCCTTCAGGGATATAGTGCTGTTTCTGGTATTGCGGAAGGAAACATCCGGCACACTGCAGTTCAGTACGGAGCCTGAAGTGGGCTGGGGCTTGCTTATGCTGCACTGAGCGCGTTGGCGGCATATACCAGGGATCCATGTAGACAGCAAGTTCCTCTGCTGACAAGGTGAGGCTAGCATGAAGGTCCGGGGGGTGATCAAAGATAGCCCTGGCCGCCTTCAAGTTAGCCCTCTTAGAGGAGGCCCAGTTACAGCCCGACTGCGGGGGCACCGTTGGGAGGCCCTGAAGACGCAATATGACGAAGCACCGTGGGCGTGCGCACGGCAGCACGTCAAGCAAGTTTCAGGGTGCTTGCCAATGCAGCTCGTACCCTGCTGCCTGCCAAGCAGCCACTACCTGTGGATAATGCGGGTGTCTGAAGAAACCGCTGCTCAGCTCCAGACCAATCACAGGGACCTGAAAGGCACTGCAGACATCGAAGATCCTTAGCAGAAGCCGCCCGTCTGCCGACTCCAAACCTGATGCCTGTTCCGTGGGGTTCCAAGGCTGCCCCGGAGGGGAGGCAACTACCATGTTGACCGGCCACTTGGCGAAACAATGCAACCACCAATCCCAAACAATGCTGGAATCAACATGCACGTGGCTGACCGCTTCAGCTACGCCCTCAAGGTCTTCATAGGATCGTACAATGTCAAGCTGTGGCTTTTGTAGTTGCAGCATGCGATGGCAATCAGCGTCTACATCCACGGTCCATCGGGTGCTGATGGGGATGTTGTGTTTGTGCAGAACCCAGGCCGCCTGCGACCAGCCCGCAAAGCCCCCGCAGAACAGCTCAGCCATCTGAACCGTAGTCTCCTGAACCAAGACCCTGGATCCTATGACAACCGTAGCCTGCTGGGTACAGTCCATGATCACATCCGTCTTGACGTCATGGCAAATGGCCTGTATAACTCTGAGAGGCTGGCTAAGATCCTCCAACAAATGCCAATCCGAATGACGAAGACGCAGTACTACATTTTGCTTAGGCTCATTAGCACCATCCTGGCAGGGGAGCAAGTATGCCCTCGAGAGCAAGCCTCCATCCACTGATACAGCCTGTCCATAGGGCTGCACTAAGTAGTTGGCGGTGTTTCCCAAGAGACCCGGCAAGATCTGACGACTCAGTTTACTCAGCCTTTGCCACTCCAAGGATGTAAGCAGGGAGCTGTTGCTTCCAACTGGTTCGGTTTCCATGGCTCAATCAGCACCTGACACTAGTCAGGCAACGGCGTCGCCCCGAGTAGGCCTGAGCCCAGACGCTGGCAAACCCTAAACCCTAAACCCTAAGGGTTTAGGGTTTAGGGTTTAGTTTTTAGGGTTGAGGGTTAACCCTAGGTAGGGTTTGAGGCTGTTCGGCGCCTCCATCGGTCGACTCGTCAAACTTTGCGCCGCCCTCGGGCTCCTGCGATGAAGCAAAATAGGGTTTAGGGTTTAGGGTTTAGGGGTTTAGGGTTTAGGGTTTAGGGTTTAGGGTCATACCCTACATCCACCGTTTCCAGGGCACCTACTCTTCTGGGCTTTGAAGTAACCAGGGAGAGAAAAGTATAAGCTGTTATTTCATAATGGTTCCTTTAGGGAAGAGGTCCCC